ACATTGTTATATGTGGCCAACATGATGGTGCTTCATAATAAAAACATCTGAACAAGGAAGGAGCCTTAGGATTTATTATTTATTGTTGAGAAAGAACGGATCAGGGACACACGCAGAATAAATGACACTGAAAATAGCATGCAGTCAAGACATAGGTGTTGAGCGTAAAGGGTTTTCCCTGCTAATACAGATATAATGATGCAGCTACAACTATATCAGCAGCTCTGTGTGATTGTATCTGTCTGTGCTGCCTGATCACAGGAACAGTTGTTTTGTTGATCTGCTAGACAGTTCTTTATGACTCACACCCCATGAAAGAGAGAGTTAAGGATAGACTGAGGTAACAAGAGAGAGATAGAGGATAATAAATAAAAAGAGACAGCAAAATGTATGTTGTTTTGACTGTGCTGAGAGGGAAGTGAAGCAGACAGTGAGTTGGCCTACATTTACGTATGTGGCACTGTGAGTGGAAACAGAGAGACAGCCCTGTGTCTAGCTAATTATTCTTCCACAGTAAAGACAGAGAGTGTGTGTAATATTGTTATTTTAGGCGTGTTTGCGTGAGACATCAGTTACCAGGGGTATGTAACAAATGTTGACTAGGTCTGCTAATTTGAAAAAATGGAAATAAACACCTGAATACTATATCATGAAATTTAGAAAACTAGTGTGAAAAGTAAAGAATGGTTTGAAAAGGAATGTATATGCAGTTGAAATAGTTAGCTAAAAGTGTTGGATAAATGTTTCTAACAGTTAAAAGTGTCAGGTTTGCCCGGCTGCACCTGCCTCTCTCACCACCCTCACTTTTGTTTCTCGTTCACGGCCCTGATTACCACACCTGCTCCACACCGTGATTATCACCAGCTGCACCTGTAGTCCTGCCCTTTTTATACCCTGCTCTCCTGTCTCTCCCTTGCCAGTTCGTTTTCATTCTCAGGCCCTCACGTCGTCTCCCCAGTTTGTTTTCTCTGTATGTTTGGTCTAGGTCCTGTTGAGTTTCCCCCAGTACTCTGCCTTGCCTCTCCACAACCGGATTTCTCCTCGTTTCCCTCCATGGACTACTACCTCTGGACCTCTGCTCCACTCAACCCTTCCAGCCTCCACCAGTCAGGTTGATGCACAGTCACCAGTAACTGTCTGTACAAACTCTTCTACTCTTATCCCCTCAGTAACCTCCGTTGCCCACCGGCCAGCTCAGGAGTGACCCGGCTACGCAGCTCGGCCCACTCCATCCATCTCATCACGCTTCCTGTACTGTTGCTAATCGACACTGGGATTCATATTTCATCCTCACCAACTTGTTTGTTCATCATTACCGACACTGTAAATAAATTACGCACTGCTTGCACTGAAGTCAGCTACCTGGGTCCGTCTTTTTGCTCACTCACTCCGTGTGCGAGCAAACATAACAAAAAGTAATACATAAATGATGGACATGATGCTAAATAATAAATAAATGGTGAAGCAGGATGGATACACGGCTCAATTCAATTGATAAAAAGTTAAACTAGTTAAAAGTATAAGACAACTGAAAACATTAGCTAAAACAAAAGGATAAATGGTTGAAATTTAACAGTAAGTTAAATATAAATTGAAATAAGGTACAGCCAAAATGTATGGAAATAAAGTTGAAATGTAACTGGCGAGGCCTAAACATTTGTTCTGTTAACATCCACTTCAAATGTGAAGCAGGACACATTGCGTTGGTGAAGGGGCACAAACTGTGAGGGTATATCAGACAAAAAAGTTTGGGAACCCATGATTGAGAGCGAGTGTGTGTGTGTGTGTGTGTGTGTGTTTTGGGGGGGGGGATTCCCTTTCTTCCAAGCTGACACACTTGATGGCATTTTCACTTTCAGACTCTAAAAGTGGTATTAATCTCACTCGGATGTCCCAAAAGAGACACAGGCACACACATTCACACATGCAACATATCACAGCACTGTTGTCGCTGGCATTTCAGTGATTTAGAGCATCATCCCTGGTTGCCACTAGCGTGAAGCTGTGATCTTCACATATATGACACCTCAGCTCAACAAGGTCCACATATATGACACCTCAGCTCAACAAGTTCCATACAAAAACACACACACACACTCACATACTGAAGGGATGTCTCTGCTCTGTCTCTTCTGCCATCACATTCTCACTTCCTGATTCAGACAGACCAGTCCTCTGGGACACAGACACACCTCTCTTTTGCTCCCCTGCTCCTTGCTCCATTCTTCCACTTTTCTCAATCTGCTGCTCCATCTCGTGAGGATGGAGGGAGGTGGTGCCAGAGGTTAGACAGATGGTGGTGGGTGATACACCGATACACAGTCAATCTCAGGTTTGCTCCTGTGGGAATGGTGTGATGGAGTGGAAGCAAGAGAGGGGCAAGTAGAGGGAAAGTGTCACATGTACATTTTTAAACATATTAATAGTGGTTTGAACTTCAGTATTAGCCTGTTTCAGCTTTACATTAAAGGTATATGCTTACTCTATATAGTTGTGATATTCTGTATGTCTTGAGAATCATATTTACTATTCAGCCTGTCATATCTTTTGGACTACCACTGTAATTTAAATTTCTGTGGGTTTAAATGGCTGCACAACAGGTGACTGAAATGATGTTAAGAGGTTTGAAAGGCATTGCTCCACATGTTTTCATCATGACAGTCACTCCATCAAGGAGGACGGGCATATTGCAAGACTTATTCCCAGTGGCTTTTTATGTATTCCACAAACTGCCTTTTGGAAACTGTAAGCTGTAACTAAACAACAAGAGAAGCCTCATAAAAATAAAAATAAATATTCTCAAAGAGTGCCCTGGCCAAGCTACAGTAGGTACCATTTACCATGAGTTACAGATAAACAACATAAAAGAGATCACGCAAAATATGCCACAAAGAAAAAAATCTTTTTCAAGCATGGATTAAATTATACAATATTCCATGTCTACATGTCAGTTCAGCAGTCAGTGAATAAGGTTGTGAATTTAGTGTTGCATGTACTAACATGTCACATGATATGCCAGGACAGAATAAAGAGACAAGAGGAGGCAACATCCTAACAAGGACGACCTGTATGGCAGCCAGGGCCCTAGACAGCATGGCACACCTCGACCCTAATAGGGTGCCCAGGAGCCCCTTGGCCCAGTGAGGGGCGAACAGCCAGCTGACAACTCCCCACTTGCATGACCTTTACCATGCTTGACCCCCTGCAGGAGACGATCACCTCATAGCCCCACCGGAGATACACACAGAGCACAAACAGAAAGCTACAGACAGGCATAATACGGACTGATAGAACTTCATCATAACGACAGCTTGTTCAGTCATTTTGCTGACAGGAAAGTCCATGCATAAGCTCATTTCAGGAATTGACCATCTTTATCAGGAGTAAACACGTCATTCAGCTGTGTGGGCCATATCTGTCTCAGGATACAGTCAGGAGGTCAGCAGTTTATGCTCTATTGATCAGTGAATATTTAATTAATTTAGACAACTGAATGGATGCAATAATAAAGTAGCGCTGGCATCTGAGCTGAAGAGGCTCTACTTGGAAAGGTGCAAGAAATACACCAAATATTTTACATTCCCAGTTTTGGTACTGGACAAGATCAACTGGCCTGTATGGCAAAGTAAATGGAAAAAGAGTTGTAAGAAAGTTGATTTGTCCTTGATATGGACTGTAGATTATGAAGAGCAATTTTACAAGTAAAAAAAAATCTATAAACCTTCAAATATAGGAGTTTGCATCATATATATTATGAACAAACAAACAAACAAATAAATAAATAAATAAAAAAGAGAAGATAAACTTAAAGACAACACCTGCACAAACAACAAATCAGAACAAGCAGTGACAATTCCAGAAAAGAAGACTGACTTTTCTATCCACCATAACATTGAAGAGATTTTGCCAGTAGATTTAGTTAATTCTGCATTCTCTTCATTTTTGGATTCTATGAATAAAATGTTTACCCCATAAAAACAAATTATTTGGCTGAAAATCCAAACTTTCCTCCTTCATAAATACTCCAGAGTTAACACACATTGGGTAATAAAATATCCTTATATTGAAGCCAACTCTGATTCAAGTTACAAGAAAATGTTACAGTCTCAGTGTCCTCCTCATAGAATCCAAGGTTATTGTAATGCCAGCTAATTTTTTATGCAAGAAATATCTCAAAGGGTTAATATAATATATTATAATATAAAAGCTCATGTTGTTGGCTTTAGGTGGAATTAGATAAGACAAATAGGCCTGTTGCTTTTATTTTCTTTGCCTCTTCATCTTCTCTATATTCGTTTCAGCTTATCAGGGTTATATTCTGTTGATAAAACATTTCCAACAAATTTAGTGAATTGCTTGCTACTTAGGTTGATACCTGAATGGTCTTATGACTTACAGTGAGGAATTTAAAAATCATACAATGTGATTTCCTGAATTTTTTTATTTTTTATTCTGTCTCTCAGAGTGGGAATGCACCTACAATGTGAATTTCAGACCCCTCCATGATTTCTAAGTGGGAGAACTTGCAAAATGGCAGGGTGTTCAAATACTTCTGTTCCTCACTGTAAATAGAGTGTAGTAATGGCTGCTGAATCGTCGTTCTAGGGGAACTGGGATAGGCTTAATTACTTTGTTATATTATCGAAATGAGCAGTTTGTTTTAAAATTATTTTTTTAATTCTGTCTCTCAGAGTGGGAATGCACCTACAATGTGAATTTCAGACCCCTCCATGATTTCTAAGTGGGAGAACTTGCAAAATCGCAGGGTGTTCAAATACTTCTGTTCCTCACTGTAAATAGAGTGTAGTAATGGCTGCTGAATCGTCGTTCTAGGGGAACTGGGATAGGCTTAATTACTTTGTTATATTATCGAAATGAGCAGTTTGTTTTAAAATTATCACAATAATCTATATAATGTTATGTGTTACCAAACTCATCCATCTTATCGGAAGGGTCGTTGTTCCAATCCTGTTGTAGGCTCATTGACTGTATATGAGTAGGCTACAGAAAAACTGCGGCTTTAAGTCAAAGATGTCACGTCATCAAAAGGCGACACAGTTGTATGGGACAGAAAACGTAATAGGTTCGTGTTTGTGCGAATACTGTGAAGTAAGTGAACTGTTTTTTTTTGTGTAAAATATGGATACTGAAGGAATCGTTGTTATTTAATTTTGCTAATTATTCTTGGTGAGTTTAAAGTAATCTGAAATCAGTTCATAGATGTAACGCTACGTAAATCCCCTTTGTTTGTAGCTAACGTTAGTACTTCAAACTATCAAATTTTGTGACAGTAACATAAATGGTTTCATGCATCGTAATAACATAATTTTCATTTGTTAAACTCTTAAGTTACTTGTTTTGTACGCAGATCCCGCTTCCTCTGCTGCAACATTGTGCATTGCGCTCAATTCAACCGCTAATGAATCCATTAATTAGACGGAGACTCCCTACGTCTGTGAAGAGTCTTCTGACAGACATCGGTCCGAAGGAGGAGTGGACTGACGCGGAGGCAGACACAGTGACCAGAGATGGGATTCTGCTTCCGTCCAGGGGAGCAGTATTTGAACAAGAGGAGTATCTCAGGCCAGCCAAGACACCAAACGAGCAGGCTACCGAGGATGGGAGTAACTCCAGGGGGAGCGCAGTCTGCATGTTGTGTAAATCTAAACCCTCACGCTACACCTGTCCTCGGTGTAACCTGCATTACTGTGGCTTGGCTTGTTACCAGAGCCCACATCACTCTGTGTGTTCTGAAGAGTTTTACAAGGAGTCTGTTCTTCAGGAGCTAAAGGATATGGGGAAAACAGAAAGTGAGGGGAGAAAGAAAATGAAGGAGATTCTTGTGGGACTCAAACAAAAGGCAGAAAGGACAGATGGGGGGCTGGAAAGGTTGTTAAAAGAAGAGGGCATTGTGTCAGATAACACAGATAAAGGGGATGAAAATGTAACAGAGAAAGTGCAAACTCTGGAGCTCCTGTCCAGGTTAGCAGAGCTCCAGCAGTCTGGAGAAGGGAGTGCAACAGAGATTGAAGCTGTTTTGAGAAAACTTGAAGAGATTGGAGGAAGTAAGCTGCTGCCTGGAGACATAGATGAGAACAGCGATAATGCAGAAGGAGAGCTTGACTTGGCTGATCGGCTCTCAGGGCTGGATATTGACAAACTTTCAGAAGAGGAGCTGTGGGAGCTTCTCAACTGCAAAGAGAGAGAGACGTTTATGGATTTGATGAAGGGTGGAGCTCTTGGTGGGCTGGTTCCCTTGTGGAAGCCATGGTGGGAAGAACATGAGGAGGGAGGGAGAGCACTGGTGGAGGAAGTGATTAAACTGGAGAGAGAAACCATATCAACCACACTGGATGATGATAAAGCCAAGACTTCACAAGTTGTAATTCACAAACAGGGCAAAGCAACTTCAAAATTGAGAAAGATTAAAAGTGGAAAGACAAAGGAAACAAGCAAGGGCTTGAGTTCAACAGTTCCCACCGTGCCTCCTGTTTCAGCAAAAATTCCAAAGTTGAGCTCTTTATGTGCAAATCCATCTCCCCTGGTGTGTTATGGTTTGGTCAATGTACTTTTTGGCTACACCTTCACCCTGTGCCTGTTTAATGGTGACACTGATTCACTGATTGAGTTCTGTGACATGATTCTCGCTCTTTCTGAGGCACTAAACTCAAGCAGGGTTTTTAACACGGTCCAAGAGGCCTTAGACTGTGGAGAAACTCTCATTTTGGGCGGAGGGTACCTCGACAAGGAGGATCCACTGGCCCCAGTTAGGGCGGTGGAAGCCGTGGCTCACATCATGACGGGCAAAGACAGAAAGGATACTACAGGATACTGTCTAGCAGCCTTGAGTCAGCTTCGGTCAATGCTCTCACAGGCCAGAACAGCTCTGTCTAAAGATGGAGAGGAAGGGGTAAGGAGAAAAATGTACTTCCTGGCAAGCAAGAAGTGTGAATTCTTTCAAGCCTGGGTGTTGGACAATGTGCATCAAGTTTGTGGACTAGCTATTGAGTTATGGAATGAACACAGCAGAAGAAACAGTGTGAGGAAGACCATGGAGAAAGCAAAGACTGTAGTTGAAGAGAAGTTGAAGAAAGGGAAGAGGAAGGGGAATATTAAGTTAATTGAAGAACTGAGCCAATAAAGTCTTTCTTGAACATGTTGATGTTTGTAGCAAGATAATGATGTAATAAATATCTATGCCTAAATTATCTTCTCACTGTGAAAATCAATCACTAGGTCATGGCTTGTTTGCTCTTATTATACTGTTAAACACTGTCATTTGGATGAGCTTTGTGATATAAATGAAAAGTTAATATTTTATTTGCTAGATTCCCAATTTTCTGTGATAGTAAACTCAAAAGAAGAGGGTCTGACTGTTTGTCAGACAAAGCCAGAAATAATATTATGCTCATTTGGGTTTGGGGGAATAATTAAAACTCTAATTTTCTGGAATTTTTATTACATTTTATAAACATGTTTTTAAAGTTGTTGGGTATATTGATAATGAAAATTGTTGGTTGCAGTCTTAGAGTATATCTATAATGATTAATATTATTGTGCCTGTAGGTTTCTGTCTTAATTACTTGAAACATGAAAACCTGAAGCAATTTGATTAAACAAGACTAGACAACAAATGAGCACAATACAAATTTAAACAATAAAAGACCTTAACCTACATTTCGACCCAGGTCTCCAGTGACCAGAGGCCACAACGTGCAGTATGAAGGGCCTGTTAATATATTATTTATTGCTGCAACTTTACAATAAATGTAATGTACTTCTCAACTATTTGGAGCTGTAGTATTGGCGATTTAAAGTATGAAAGATGAGTATTTCTTCTAACTCGCGTAGTCGTTCTCGCGGTGCTTGCGTTGGCCGGTCACGTGGTGCGTATGCCCTTCCACGCTGCGACAGAAAACATGGCTGCGCTCTTGAGATCTGCACGGTTACTCAAATTTTCGCCTTCGGGTTTGCTTCTGAACGCCGGAACTAAAAGAAACGGACCGCTGTTCAGTCGGCTCTACAGCGGAGCTCTTGCCGGCAGAAGAACCGGAGTTTGTTCCCGACAGATCAGTCGTGCTTCGGAAAATGTGTCCAGGTATCACGCAGCCTGTTAGCCGGTTCAGCTGTGATCCACGCGTGAAGTAGGGATGTCATTGATATTCAATGACACGCTATGACAGTGGTAGATGTACTCTATTAATCTATGTGGCTAGAATAAGTTGCGACGTGTCTTTACGTAGCGAGACTAAACTGTAGCATTAGGTGAAATATACATGGCCTCTGTTTTACATAAGTTGATGATCAGAAGTTGTATAATGTTGAGCTGTTCATCCATGCTTGCAGTTTAACGGTTATCTCTTAATGTAGAATATAAAGTGATTTCGTAATGACAATGTAGCTGTCCCTTTATATGTATAGTAGCTTAAATCGTATGCTAGCCCTTAGCAAGAGGCCCATCATTGAAAATTAGCACTTAGGCTACATCTTCATTGTTGTTGCTATAGTAGATGCTCTGGTCAAATTCAGTGATGATCATTTTATCACTGGAAGTACTAACTAGTGGTAGCAGGCCTAAAGTGATGTTAAAGATGCCAGATAGTAGGTAACATTTATTCTGCTGTGGCTTTTTTTCCAAGGTCATAGCTCTTGAAACAACTGAGCTGGGCCCTTGAGTTGGTAAAACATACAGAGCTGCAGACAGGTGACAAATTTAAGTAAAAGCTTGAATAACTGAGTGGTAAAACAACAAATTCAGATGCTGACATGGTTTGGGTCCTCTTGACCCTCTGAGGTGGGGTGGAGGGTACGAGGGGTCACTGAATGTTTTGATGAGTATGAAAATGATGTGAATCACATGCTATGGCCTTCACAGTCACCAGATCTCAACCCAGTTGAACACCTATGGCAGATTTTGGAGCGATGTGTTAGACGGCGTCTCTTCCACCATCATCAAAACACCAAATGAGGGAATTTGTGTAGGAAGAGTGTTGTTCATCTCTCTAGTAGAGTTTATAGACCTGTAGAGTCAATGCCAAGGTGCGCTGAAGCTGTTCTGGTGGCACATGGTGGCCCAACACCTTGTGTTGGGTTTTCCTTTGTCACCTGCCTGTGTATTTATTTTTCTGCACATCATTTTGATTGTTGTTTATGTTGTCTCTATCCTGTCTCCTCCACTTCCTCTCCCCTTTTCCAAATGATCATACTCTCTTTCATGCTTTTGCATCTTTTCTACTCTCTGTCTCTCTTCTTTCTACTTTCATTGTTTAATCCTGAACAGTCGTGTATGGCCATATGCAGTCGGGTGTCTGCGTAGCTATGCTGTGGCCACAGACCTGAAGGATGAAGCCAGTGTTGCAGTGCAGTCCAAACAGTCACAGCAGTTTGACTGGGCTCTGACCAAGCTGGACAGCTCTGTGAGGAGGACTGGTCGCATTACCAAGACCTTGCTGCTCCAGATCTTCCATAATTTCTGCAGGACAGGTAGGTAGACTGAACAACAGTCAGGGAGATGAATGGATGTCAGAGGTAGTAGTCACACTGCTGATAGTCCATCCAAATTATTGCTGGAGGCCATTTGATCACTGTGAGAGACAAACCAATCAGGCAAAGTTGGCAGTGGTTTCTAGTTTATTGGTGTGAAAAAGTTTGCGGCAACTTTACCCTCAGGTGTTATCATCCTTTAGCAGCAAGTGATGGGACAGTTGCAACTGTGGCAGTGTCCTAAAACATGTAGCTATCCATGTTTTCTTGAGGTTCTTTATGATGCTTTGTGTCTCATCTAAGAAGTTCTTAGAATCTGGACTAAACTGAAGACTTTTGTTTTGTTTTCTTTCTCTCTCTGTCCATCCATCCTCACCTCATGTTCCTGTCTGTTTGCAGGTTATCCCAGTGGTAACCAGGCCTTGTTGCTGCTGCGTAGCTGTGGGTCTCTGTTGCCCGAGGTGCCTCTGGAGGAACGCACTGAGCTGGCACATCATATTTGGGAGAAAGTGCAGGAGCTGGGTAAGGGGCTGCACTGAAGGCAGAAACCTAACCATCACATTATATAAAATAATGTCTTGCTGCTTGCTACTGCTGAAGTGAGAAGCATTCAAGCATGGTTTCAAATATTCTGACTTTGGTTTATCTTGGGAAAGTTATGCTAAAAGTGACTGTTTAGAATGATTAGAATCATAATCATGTATTTGATCTTGCGTTACATGAGGTTTATGAGAATTCCAGTAGCTTTGTAAAGTATTTAGACTGTGATGTCTTTGTAGAGGAATCGCTGTATACTGTTAGTGTTTTAGATTTGCACATTATCCTCCACAGGTGCACAGTATGATGTTAGTCACTACAATGCCTTGCTGAAGGTTTACCTGCAGAATGAGTTCAAGTTCTCTCCCACTGACTTCCTGGCCAAGATGGAAGCAGCCAACATCCAGCCCAACAGAGTAAGTGAACCCATCAACCACAACACAGTCAGATGTCCCTGTGAGGATTTTGGTTGAGATTCACAGTGTATTGTAACTGATTATTTGTGTTTCTTATTTTATTTTTTTTTGCCCAGGTTACCTACCAGAGACTTATTGCAGCCTACTGCCAAAATGGAGACATACAGGGAGCCAGGTGAGCAAACTCATGTTCTCATGGGGAGCTCTGACACCTTGTACTGGATACATGATTGTAAAACACATCCCTGTTGGGTATATAATAGACTTGTGTGTTATGAAATACAGTATTTTGCTTGATTTATTTTCCACACCTGTTGGCCACGGTGTCAATACCTAACATGTGTCTTTTGAAATATTAATCTGTTTTCCCCCCCATTTTAACCACATCCTCTGCCTTCCCAGTACCATATTGGGTTTCATGAAGAGCAAAGATTTACCCATCACCGAAGCTGTTTTCAGCTCCCTGCTGACAGGCCATGCTCGTGCAGGGTGAGTGTCACTGGTTTTGTTCTTTTAATACTCGGTATTTAATTGCACCTAATGAGTGTCATTGTTGGAGTAATTAGGTTTTAAACACACTGTCATTGTTATTGTTGCGCAGCGACATCGAGAGTGCTAAGAACATCCTGTCTGTGATGCGGGGAGCAGGAATTGAACCGGGTTCTGACACTTATGTGTCATTGCTTAACGTCTACGCTGAAAAAGGAGACCTGGATGGTCTGAAGAAGGTGTGTTTGTTTTATTACGCTGGCTGACAAGACAATGCTGATGCATATTTTATATTTGTGTCTCTAATAAATAGTTTTCCAACTACTCCTCTCATCTCTTATTTTTGCCCCCTCCCAATCTCTCTTTTGTTCCTACTCCTTTTCTTCTGTTTCTTGTTATAATCCCCCTCCTTCCTCTTCTCAAAATGTCTTTCTCCCTATTTTCCCTTCCTCCCTCTTCTCTGTCCCTCCCTTCCAAACCCACACTCATCTCTCTTTCTCTTTCAGACTCTGGAGGAAGCAGAGGCTGCAGACAGCAGTTTAATGGACCAGGAGTTCTTGCGGGTGATCTACACTCTGGCAAGGGCCGGGCACCAGCAGCACGTCCCAGAACTTGTTGGGCACTTGAGGCACGAGAGGGGTTACAGTCCAGGTACACATGCACACTTGTCTTGTGTTTTTCCCTTGCACTGTAGTCTTCAGTAGCCAAATATCAGTCAAAAAGATTAAGTACTGTTGTGCGTCTGTTTAAACATTAGCATTAAATGGCCATAAAACTGAGAGGCTAAACAACCAGACAGCTGGTTTATTAAACTGCTATCTTATTGGCTGTGTTTGTAATCCTACTGGTGGTGTTACGGGGCTGACAAGAATCCTCATTTGTTTGTCTTCTTGTAGATGCCATGAACCTGTGTCTGCACCTCATCACCCAGGGCCATGAGGATACAGCTTTTGTTGTCCTGAAGAGTTTCCACCTACTGCAATCTGACAGCTTCAACAATCCCCCCAGCCTGGGCAACTTCTTCCTCAGACACTGTGTCAACATGGACGTGGTACATGGCAAACATTTCACTCACTGCTACCTTAGCCCAATCTTATTGCATGTGTATGTAGAGGATTAATTAAAATGGTTAAGTTGAATTTTTTGTTTTAAATTTCTGTGTGTTTACACTTCAGGCGGTGGAGAAGATCAGCCACTACTGCAGATATCTCCAGGAGTCTAATCTGCACACAGCACCACTCAGCTTTGCTCTGTACTGTGCTCTAGAAGCCAGGAAGACTGGTACAGCTTTCATTCAGCACTATGAAACACACACTAATCATGTTAGAGTAAAAATCTTTCGATCTGCTTACATGCACTCAACTGTTGATATTTATTTGATGTATTGCAAAAACAATATTAAAGGATTAACTGCTTGTTCAGTGTCTAAATGCAAATTATATTAAACCACAGCAAGTCTTTAGAGTGAATTATACTTTTTTTGCAGGTATGTCTTTAGAGCTGATGAAGATTTTGAAGGAGCAAGGCTTACCCATAAAACCACACTACTTCTGGCCCCTTCTGACTCAGCGTATGAAAGAGAACAACACAGCTGGTACAAATGCAAACACACAAATACAAAGTATTTTAATTGATATCTAGACTAAAGGTGCTGATTTTTTTTTCTGGTGTTTTCTTTTGGTCTTTTGTTGAGTTTTGTTGCAGCATAATAAGGGATGTTGCTATCAAACAGTAGATGTTAGTAGATCTTTAAATTGAGTGTCGAAAGTTGTTATGATAAGTTTGTTGTTGGAGCCAATCCAGCCTCCTGTGAATAATCTCATGTGTATGTGAATCTAATGGGTGGTTGGGTCCCAAGGGGGGGGGGAAATGTGCTTACAAGTTGTTTGCATCCAGTCTGATATACAGTTTTTTTGTTTGTTGAGCATGGTAGTTTATGAGCACATGTGCTATTTTTGTGTGTGAATACAGGGGATTTTGACTTCTTCTGTTTTGCGTACCAAAAAGAGCTTTTAAAAGGAGGGTTTCCTTGAAATATTAATGCCCCACAGAGTGGTCCAACTGGGACAGATTTCACTGGGCTGGGGCAGTCAAGGACAAGGATGTCTGATCCCTATGTGAGAGATTTAGAGTGAGAAGAGATGAACTATGCACATTCATACACACACACACACACACACACACACACACACACACAGAGGTCTCTCTGGAGAGCTCTTGGAGCAGATTGCAAGTTTAGAAGAGGTCCCTGCCTCCCATGTCTGCCGCTCTCAACTGATGTGCTCCCGACACACTGACTTTCAGAAAGTGAGCTCAGACGTGAATGTCATATAGCTGACACTGTCAGCTGTGCAGAACCTCCTGCACTTCTTTTGCACTAAAGTTCCAGGTTTCCCAACGCATTGACTGGCTGATGTTGCTAGACCAAATGATGATGAATAATGTGTAAGAATGTATCAAGAGCAAGAATAACTCTTTAGAAATTCATTTGCTTTCCGAACCGAATTGTCAAACCATTTCATTTTTCATCATTGTTGGCGTCATTTAAATCACATTCTTTGTTCAGTAGTTTGACAGTGAGAGCACAAATTATGTACAGGTCAGGCAAATACCTGCTCCTCCTGAGTTGAGTCTGCATTCACTGTTTCACATCTGTCTGACACTCACTGGAAAACTGCTTTTGATGTCTTGAGGTTTTTTATCCATCTGCTATTTAAGATAGTTTAATGGCTCAGCAGGTGCATTTTAAGGGAATATTTCGGTCTCTGCTGAATTAAGCTGTTATTTTCTTTCTCTTGTTTTGCGATGGGCTTGTGGTGGAAATCGTCTCCGTGACAGAGAGCCGGCGTTTGGAGGCTTGTCAGAATTCACAAGTCATTAGTGAATGTACCCTGTCAAATGTGTTCAGCAGTGGCTTGGCTTTTAAGTGCTTTATTTGTGCTGAGCTCTGGCTCTCTCTTTGGGGTTTTTACAGCAATTAATAAATTATGTCTTTTTTGCCATGTTAGTTAATTGACAGCATTTGAGCTGGCAGGGAGGAGAAACTGGTCAGACCAGTGTGGCGATGCTGCAGATTGACATCTTTGTGCGGTCAAGACAGATTCTCAGTGTGAATGGTGAGATGCCTCAGTGCCTGGGTTGAAGAAGAGGAGTAGACATGAGTTTAAACATGCACAACCACACACACGCATATAGATGCATGCTCTTACATTCTCTAACCACTCGGTCTCAAAGCCACACAAATACATCAGAACGCCTCCATTTAGCTATCACAGCGTAGAAGGAAAGAAGGTGGAGAAACTTTTGCTCACACAATCGCTCATTTCCAACAGCGTTGGCCTTAACACTCATGAATGATGCAGTCTCTTTTTGCCCCCTCTCTCTTTTTCCCGCTCTCCCTCTCACACTCATTGACTGCTGGAGGTGTGTGTGTGTGCATGAGTGCGTGCACACACGTGTCTGTTTGTGAGGATGGGGCCTTTTTTGGGGGTCAGTGCAGGTGATGTGACTGATGCAGAGTGACTTGATTTCATGTAAATGCAAGTGCTCTGAGGGAATTCACTTTGGATTATGCGCCCCACTGTGCACAGCCCATGAAATATTAAGCGCCGTGTCACTTTTTGTCCACAGGTGTCACTAGCGGGCAGAGAGGCCAGAGCTATGGAATGGGAGGAGAGCAAACAGGGGAGGGATGGTGAGGAATAAGCAAAGGCGAGGGGGGAAAAATGCCTTTGCATTTTGATGAGGTGTGGATTTGGCGGGTTTAGCGGAAGCATATGCTGGGCTGTACTTCCCACCTGCCGCCAGCTAGTCACCGCTTGTCATTACAGTACTTGCGATGCGGCACGCTCTTATCACTTCTGATATGGTGGATGGAGGAAGAGTGAAAGAGGAAGGAGTGCAGAGGGAGGGAGTATTTCTGACCTTGTGTGTTTTGGGTAATGAAAGATGTAAAGGCTCCCTTGTCTGGCCTGTTTTCCTTCCTGGCTGCTCCCTACACCTGACTCTGTATGACCTCATCCTTGACCCTTTCTTTTTTTTTTTATGCATCCCTATGTGTCAGAGAGAGTGGGCTGCATTAAAGAAGCACTGTCACAGCAATCTGTGTTTTAGTTCTTCATGAACTCTTTCTAACCTAAGCCTAATTAATTTGTTGGATAAGAGCCAAGCATCACCTTAATTAAAAGGAAAAAAATGAAACTAGCCAGTCTTAAAATGTTAATTTTCTTGTGTGCTCTTCCGTTTTCAAATGGCAGCCCACAATTGCCTTGTAGCAAACAGTCACAGTCACAGAGAGGTGGAGAGACAGATGGTGTTGAAGAAAGAAAAGGAGAAGTGACAGGTACTCATGTCCAAGGATGGGAGGAAATGACAGTGGCCGGTTTGCTCCACTCCTCTTTTCCTCTTTTTTTCCATCTTCACTTCTCGTCTGTGACAGTTAACCTGAAGACATGAATCTGATGATGATATCTTGTGACCACTTCCATGTTTAACACTCTATTTTGATACATCCTGCTTCCTTGGGATGTCAGACTTGATCCTCACCAGCCTCTACTCTTCTCAGTCCACCTCCCTCCTGAATATTTATATATTTTTATGCTGTTCAGACATAGGAGAACGCGAAAAGGGATGCACATGAAGATTAGGGAGTGAAACGATAAAAACACCTAGAGGAGGAATCACAAATGTAACAACATAATATTGCGTTATTTTGTGTTTACCTGTACCTTCACTGTTTCTGTCATTTAATTTCAAATCTTCAGGTGTAGTTGTCTTTTCAGCATTTATATGAAACTACAGACACTGTTATAACTAAGTCATGTAACACCACAAACATTGTTGCATTGTGCTACTACAGTACATCCTGCAGTCTTGTCGTCACCATTCTGCAAAGCCTTTTTTTTTTTTAAACACTTTTTGAACAGAATCAACAGTGTTTATTACCGAGCTTTGGAAGTGCTGTTTCAGGATATGTATGAGAGGAGTATGACAGTAGTGAGATGTGCTGTAGGTCAGACAGAGGAGTTCAAGGTGGGGCTACATCAAGGATCGGCTTTGAGTCCCTTCTTGTTTGCTATGGTGGTGGACAGGTTGACAGATGAGGTCAGACAGGAATCTCCATGGACAATTATGTTTGCGGATGACATTGTGATCTGTAGTGAGAGCAGAGAGCAGGTGGAGGAACACCTGGAAAGGTGGATGTCTGCTCTGGAAAGAAGAGGAAGAGGCGAGTGCAGGCGGGTTGGAGTGGGTGGAGAAAGGTGTCAGGAGTGTTGTGTGACAGAAGAGTGTCAGCAAGAATCCAAGGAAAGGTGTACAAGACAGTAGTGAGACCAGCTATGCTGTATGGGTTAGAGACTGTAGCAGTGAGGAAAAGACAAGAGGCAGAGATGGAGGTAGCAGAGATGAGGATGTTGAGGTTCTCTTTAGGAGTGACCAGGATGGACAGGATTAGGAATGAGCACATCAGAGGGACAGCTCAGGTTGGCTGTTTTGGGGACAAGGTCAGAGAGGCCAGATTGGGATGGTTTGGACATGTGCAGAGGAGGGATAGTGGTTATATTGGTAGAAGGATGTTGGAGATGGAGCTGCCAGGCAAGAGGTCAAGAGGAAGGCCAAAGAGGAGATATATGGATGTGCTAAAAGAGGACATGAAGTTAATTGGGGTGAGAGTAGAGGATGCCGAGGATAGAGTTAGGTGGAAACAGATGATTCGCTGTGGCGACCCCTAATGGGAAAGAAGAAGAAGAAGAAAGGAGGTGCTGGTACAGTAGGCGCATTGATTGCCAAGCTCACTATTTCTTCCTGTTTCCAGCCTTTGTGCTAAACTAAGCTAACTGGCTGCAGGCTAGCAGTATGGTACATGTACAACTTTGTTCAGAAAAGTTTTTGTACAGCATGAATAGTACCACTCACAGGCAAACAGCTTGTTACCGCTTTGCTAAGACAGGCAGTTACTTTATAGTAAACCTGTGAATAACGGCAAGGAGAACGAGCAGAAACAGCCTGGGATTCACAGGGTTAAAAGCCTTTGGTCACAGACCTGACTTGCAGAAAAAAAAAATGCACAAAAATGCATGTTGGACTATTGAGAAGTGCTGATGATCATGAAAGCTTGTGCAGAATCTGGAAAGTGTATGAGAAAAGGCCGGCTTATGTATTTGTACATCCAGCTCTCCATTCACCTATGTCTGTCTGGCTCACTGTGGAAGTGACTATGGATTATTCAGGAGGAAAACAGGTGCTCCCTCTTTTCTTTCATAAAAAACAACCAGATAAGAGGGATTAGGGGGTAAGAATGGACGGGTGGATCCTCCATTGAGAAGTAAGCGGAAGATCGCTTGTTTACTCTTTTGAAAGCAGGGTATATGGAGAGTGAGAGGGGCAGATGAATGAATGATATGTTTGGAGGGGAAGGGCAGCTGGATGGATGGAGAGGTTCAGGTAGCTCTACCTGGGATAGTGTAGCCCTAGCCGCGGGTTTTAATGGCATATAAAAGCCCAGGACTCATCTTTTATTCAGCTAAAGGGAGACTGCCAGGTGAGCACACATGTCCCAAGAGGATGCAGAAACACAGAGCTGTGTGTTTATGTGTGTGTTTCAGAACCTGAGTAGAGAATAAGTTCACAGCCTCTTGAGGTGTGTCGACTCTAGGATGCACTTTAGCCAGGTGTGTTGGTATGCTGGATGCAGCCATATATGGGATATAGATGCACTGATATTTATGTGCTAAAACCGCAGAGCAACACACACTAAGAATGAACACACACACACACACACACACACACACACACACACACAAAACGGGCCGTGTGATTTGGGGCCCACGTTCTTTGTGGGCATGCTCCTAACAGTTACAGACACGCAGGCGTTTTGAGTGTGTGTGAGCGGCTGTTCCATATGCATGTGGCTGTTTTGGCCTCCTTCCCTGGGGCAGGACCTCGGGGCACTGCTGGAGAGCAGGGTGATGGTGCAAGAGTCCACTTCAGGCCGAGTGCGCGTTTATGTATCCACCAATCCTAAGAAGAGAGTGGAGCAGCCATTAGCATTTTGTTGATGGAGGGTGTGTGTGTGTGTGTGTGTGTGTGTGTGTGTATGGGGGTGCCTGGTCATATAATTGGAGGGGTGAGAGAAAGTATGTGCCAGCTCATTTCCTAGACCCATGTTTAAACAGTGCTTACACAGCTCCAGGCTGGAGAGGGAATGGAGGAAAACATGAGCATCTGTAAAAGTGCAGCATGTGATTGGATTAAAATAGACAAACAAATGTTGGTTCGCTCAAACTATTGTCCTGATTTTTAGTTTTGACTATCGAACCAAATGTTAAAATTGTTCCTAATTAACTCTGGTTCTGTTCACCTCCTGCCCCTTACTTTAGTGTTCCCGGTCAAAATTGACCG